TATTATTTACTCTGTGTAGGCCCAATGAATTGATAATATTTCAGGCATCCTAATTTTTGGAAAGAAAAACACACAGGGACAACTTATTTTTTCTTACATTGGTTGTACCATGAAGGAATTAGTTGTACCATGGTTGTACGGATTGCTATGCTGTGTGATTACAGACAGGGCCCACACTTTGTCGATGAGATTATTACAAAACATAGCGAAAGTTATCCATGACGTCAACATACGAAGCCACGCCCCCTCGGCTGAACCCGTTGTATTTAGCATCTACCTATTATCTATGGTCTTACTCTATGTATCACACAATAGAGGGCTCACTCATAATCTTTTTTTGGGACCTGCCACAGGTCCCAAACAATTTTCATTCTCTTTGTAGGTGACGTCAGGAGATTCAGGACTGGGAATTTCCACGACAACAGCTTTATGTGTTGAACCATAGGCCTATTCAAGAAACGGCTTAACGTACGCAGGTAAGCCTAGATTTCCAGGTATTTAAAAAAATAAATAAATGAGGGTTTATTATTGTGTAGGCCTGTCAGGAAAAATTTGGTCCGGGGCCAAAACCGGACCGATTTTGGCTTTAAAATTACCTGTCAAATTATATAGTCCACATAAGCCAAAATCGGCCCGGCATCTGTAGTTTCATAACGTTGTTCATTTAAAAAAAAATCAATGATAGACAAATAGGCCTATCTTATTCTTATCTCTTATAATACTGTTTTCATTCGTTAGGCCTATGTGTGAAATCATAGGTGATATTAAGTAAAGCTTCGCGCACAGTAAAACCTTTGGTGTAAAAGTACGAAAAGAAGTTAAACGATGTGGTCTGCTTTACGGTTTATTTTTTTACTTTTTTTTTTGTTTTGTTCTGTGTGTTTAACGCCTCGACGAAGTACATGCATTCCATTCAAAGAATTCTGACCTCTTTATTTCATGTATTAGAATATCTAATACCCCACACAATAATCCGGAATATTTAAAATAAATCAGTTTTGTTTTTCATGTTAGACCCCATAAAAAAAAATTAGTTTATCACCCCCTCCCTCATCACTTTTAGGGGAATTTTTTAATTTTTTTAAATCAACATATATTTTTATTTCAACCGGTTTTTTCCCATCTTTTTTCACTTGAAAAGCTCAGGATTTCTTGCAAATATGTTTACTGGTACAACAAAAACATATTTTTAAAATATAAATTTCATTCCCTTCTTATGACTTTTTATATATGTGTCCCTAACCAATGCCATTGATTTACTTGTGAACATCGGTAAAATGGGGTGGGGTTAGCAAAAAAAAAAAACAAAAAAAACTTCCCTCCCTCATCAGTTTTTATTCTTTGATAGGGTGATTAACTAATAATTTTTTTTATGGGGCCTTGCTGACACAGTCCCTACCGGCGCAAATGCCTATTCACTTGCAGACACAGTCCCTACCGGTGCAGACACCTATTCATTTGCGGACACAGTCCCTACTGGTGCGAATGCGTGCTGACATCAACCCTAACCCAAATAATAAGAAACAGTCCCTACCGGCGCGAACGCCTATTAAGTTGCAGACACAGTCCCTACCTGCGCGGACGCCTATTCATTTGTGGACACAGTCCCTACAGGCGCGAACTCTTATTCATTTGCAGACACAGTCCCTATCCCCACAAATGCCTATTCATTTGCGGACCCAGTCCCTACACCTGCATGAACGCCTAATCATTTGTGGACACAGTCCCTACTGAAGCCATTTGAACTGATATTAATTTATTATATTTTTTTTATTTTCTTATTTATTTCTGTTGAATTTGTATTCTGTTTTGTATGCTACACATATATGAACTGATATTATGAATTTATTATTATTATTATTATTGTTACTGTGATTCTTTTTATTTTGTTATTTATTTCTGTTGAATTTGTATTTTTTTGTATGCTACACATATATGGAACTGCATGTAAATACAGTATACCGATATTATTTTTATAGTTATTGTAATTGTTTTTACTTTCTTATTTATTTCTGTTGAATTTTTATTCTGTTTTGTATGCTACAATATGAACTGATATTATGAATTTATTATTACTATTATTATATTATTGTTATTGTAATTCTTTTTATTTTTTTACATATTTACGTTGAATTTGTATTCTGTTTTGTATGCTACACATATCGTCACCGTTTTCACGAAGAGACACAAACTTCAATTTTGACGAAAACATTTTGATACAGTAATTGATAAAAAAGCGTTTGAAGTGGACTACTTCACAAATCCGTAAATTTCACTATCACGATAACAGAATTTTAAATAGTTTTTTTACAAATGTTTAAGGATAAAGCATTAAACAATTTAAATGTGTAATTTATTTTTCTTTTCTTAACTATAATCAACCTGTTAATTAGTGTGAAAAGTTTGTGTCTGTTCGTGAAAACGATCAGAATAAACACAGCATATGTTGTTTACACGTAGAGTGAAGTTTGTGTCTCTTTGTGAAAGCGATACGCGCTGTACGAGCACCCGTTGTTAAGGCACTAACTTGCACAAACTGTATTTTAGCTATGTGTTAACCATTGTAGTCAAGTGCGAAAACAGGCCTACAATCTTGGCTTATCCTTTTTTTATCATTATGTTTTTATGAATAATTCCACATTTGATGCACATGTATAGACCTATCCCAAGTTATACTGCAAGAAGGGTACCGGTATGCCTAGGTAAGCTAGGGAAATCTAATTTTTACATCTAGCCCTAGCCAAAGCCAGTCCTTACCTAGCGATAACAACGATTGCAATGCCACACACGCGTCTTTTAATAACCCAATGAAAGTTTGTGTCTGTTTGTGAAAATGAAAAAAATCCATTTTTCTCGGTTTGTGCGCAACAGCTAATTAGCTTAATTAGCTAATTAGTGTAGTTCCACTCTTAAAAATCAGATGAAAAGGTTAAGTTTGATGTACATAATCAAAATGTCAAAGAAAAAAAAAAATTGAAAAAATATGATTTTTGAAGTCTGTGTCACTTCGTGAAAACGGTGAAGATATATAAAACCGCATATAAATACAATATACTGATATTATTATTATTATGGTTATTGTAATTGTTTTTATTTTCTTATTTATTTCTGTTGAATTTGTATTTTGTTTGTAGGCTACACATATATGAACTGATATTATGAATTTATTATCATTATTGTTATTGTAATTCTTTTTATTTTGTTATTTATTTATGTTGAATTTGTATTTTTTTTTGTATGCTACACATATATGCAAGTTACTGCATAGAAATATATATCTGTCTCTTATACACATCTAGATGTGTATAAGAGACAGCTGTGTACACACTGTGGCATTTTCCTAAGGGAGGCATAGTAATCGGCAGGTTCTTGATTACAAGGCTAGACCAAGTTAATTACATGTAATGCCGAAATGATAATAATAATAATAATAATTATTATTATTATTATTATTACCTGTACGTT